CGTATGCGCAAAAGTTGAGAAAATTAGCCGATCAGTCCTAACTTATTGAACGAATGTCAATTCAGTCCTAAACCTTTCCATTTTGTCAATTTGGTCCTAAACCTTTGTGTAAAATTCCAATATAGTTATTCCGGCGATTTTTTGCAAGAAATTCGCTGATGTGACGGTATGCCACGTAGGACGGCCAGTGATAACTGAACCACCACCTCAACAATTTCCAGCGAAAATTCATCGAAATAAAATATATTATAATTTCGGGCAAAGGTTTATGACTAAATTGGCAAAATTGAAAAATTTAAGACTGAATTGATATCCGCACAATAGATCTAAGAATGATTGAGTAATTCTCTCTCAAAAGAGTTACACCAAGACATTTTTAACTTGTGGCGTGCTCCTTCAAACTGTCATTGATAGTTTGATTGGGCTGCCATAGTTGTTCTATGTAGAAGAACTCTTAAGCCCAAATCAAAACTCATAAAACATTCCAAGCACCATTTAAAGCCCAAATTCAAACAATATTTTATTTGGGACAAAAACATTGTAACTATCTATTTTGGGGCAATGCATTTCAATGAGTTGACATGTGAACTTTTTAGGCCCGAACAGAATCTCTAGGCTCGTCAATAAGCAGCCACATTGGGCTGAACCCACTCCCAATTTCAGCCCAATAGCCTGTTGTCTCCACAACATAGAATGATTTGGTTCAATTTCCTCCATTGGCTGCTTAGGATAATCATAGAAAGGAAGAGCTTTAACAACGCACTAAATTATTAATTTCTCAATTAATTCAAATTTTCCCCTTATATCATGACCCTTTAATAAACTTTCCCTAATTGATGAAGTAAACCACACAATTTCCATTGGATATAATTTTGTAATAATATGGTTGTGATAAACCACTGGGGTTGGCCCAGTGGCCACTCTTCCCACTTGGGAAAAGGGATATAGAGAATTTGATTCCCTACCTTCTCAGGGGGTTGGGGGTTGGCATGTTTAGTTTCAATTATGGGGTTTGACTCCCACGCTCTGCAAAAAAGTAGAGCAAAAGTTTAAGAATGAGATGAAAGTTAGAACGAGACTGAATAAAAAAAAGGGTCATGATCACATTTAGACCAACATCATCATCATTGTACATCTAGCTAATAGTTTGATGTTTGGAGTAGGGATGTGTATCAGTTCTGGTCCAACCTAGGAACCAAATTGGATCGGACCAAACTAGCTGGTTCCGACTAGTTCCTATGGGAATGGCTCAGAGAATATTATTTTTTTATTTAGTAAGGGCAAAAAGGATATATTATTTGCAGAGGTAATCTTTTCTTTTACTAATAACTTTCTTGTGATTAGTAATTTTATCCTACACTAAAGTAACTTCCAATATATAAGAATTTTTTAGAAAGAAAATATAACGTTAAAGTTAAAAAGATGGAACTGACCCACTCACTTTAAAACCGATCACTCTTAGTTTGGAGGCCATGGCAGTCCTCATCCTGAGCATATTGAGTAGTTTTTTAAGCATACAAATCCGTGTTTCGAGAGATGATCCCCAGAGAATGCATTAGTGGAAAGTTTTGATTAAGGTCTTCAGTTAAAAAGCAAACACACTTATGATTTGAGCAACCCCACACGATGCATATTAAACTCGAGTTCTGCTGTTAAATGTGCTTGCTCCAGATGTTGACTACTTCCACTATTTATTATATCAATAAAAAAAATTGTGATGTAACCGCTTTATTATCCGTGTTAACTGAGAAAATTACTTAGTCAATTAAACCCTTGAGTTAAAAGAAATTAGCTATTTTTAAGAGGAGCCTCCATAAAAACTCTATAGTAAAAAGGAGATAACTAAAAAAATCACTCTTCAAGAAATTTTTCTATTTCTAGCGTATTTCAGAGTTTATTCTATAAAAGGAATCAAGCGTGTGCGAAGCTCGAGAAACAAAACTAGCGCCTTATATATGCGCGTATAATTACTAAGAAATAGAAAACCGACCAGAAAAAAAAATAGATCTAGTAAGCAAGAATGGGCTTAAAAATATTTCTGTAATTTTTTCCATTTCCTCTTAAAACAAAGAGGACAGAAACGGCAAGATTCTGTATCATCGCCATATACATTATGGACCGAAAATAACGGTTGGCGTGAGGGCTGCTCTCATTTTCTTAAGAGATAATAACATAAATAGTTCATAAACTTTGACCCAATATTCAATGTGGTCCTAATATTGTCCTTGAATTTTACCCCAATGTGTAATGTGGTCCCCCCTGAACTTTTAATTTGTTTATTGTGATTCTTGAACTTTTGGTACATATTTAATTTAATCCCTGAACTATACGAAAATGTTCAATGTTGTCCTTCCATTAATTATAGTTTAAGGACAATATTGAACATTATCATATAGTTCAGAGACTAAATTGAACATGTATCAAAAGTTCAAGGATCAGATTGAACAATTTAAAAGTTCAGAGATCATATTGCACATTAAGTTAAAATTCAAGCACTATTTGTGTCATTTTCCCCTTTCTTAACCATTAGACTAAGTAAACTTGAGTACATATCTTTAAAACTTTTTCTTTTTCCTTTTAGAATATGATGCGTATTATTTAGGATTAAATTCCTTGAATTTTTAAAAATTACATGTGCAAATTTAAGAGCATTTTTACTAAAGCAAAAAATTTAAATATCTTTTTATAGTTGAAATCTAGCCGGTCGTTCTCTTTTTTTATTTTATATTTTTTCTTTGGTTGTCATTCCATTACGACTCTGGCAAATTACTTTTATATGACTGATCTTGAAATTAAAAAAAAAAAAACTGGCTTTGGAACCATTTATCTATTTGACAAGAAAAACCTTTAATCTATTCCGCACATGAAACGATAGCCTTGGACATCAAATCAAGGTCATTTTATTATTTTTAAAAATATATAATTTAATTTGTGGATACAATCAATCCTAAAGGCATGTCACATTAAATTTCCTGTTATTTTGGCTTTATTTTTCATATTTCCTCCTCCTTTTACGGCGTAAAATAAGAAGGCCGTGGTTTATTGAGTGTTTATAAGATTCAATCTTAGTCCAAATGGATTTCTTAGTAAAACTAACCGGTCCAGTCCATTACATCCTTAAAGACGATTAGACATTTTGCAAAGGAAACAATGGGTTTATTAAAATTGATCTATAAAATTAGTATATGTACTATCAGTCCTATTGAAATCTACCATATTGCAAGTCGGACATATTCAATGATCCCTATGCATTTTAATACATGCACCACACTCCTCGAGAAAACACTTAAAAGCCGAGTAGCACTTGGAAAGGGTAAGACAACCCAACATAAATTAAAAGTGCTTTCCTCCTATTTTTTTTATTAACATGGGAAGAGGTGTGAATGAGAGGAAGTAAACGGGAATTAAACAATTTAAAGGGTGATTTTGAATTGGACCGTTACTAATATCTGAATTTGAAAACTTTTATAAGAAGGAAACTTCATATGGTAGGTGCCTTATTATGACTCTATTGATTTTGTCTATATTAATGATTTACGATGATGATATTCAAATCATAAGTAGATTGCATTTTATTCCGAGAAGTTACCAAAACACACGACTACTCGAAGATTTATTACCATTCTGATTTCTTATTATTTTTCTAATTCTTTATTATATGACAAAAGCTAAGTATTCTAAGACTTAATTACTTCCCCCACCCCCCCCCCCCCCCCCAAAAAAAGCTTAAGTACATATGTGATAAATTTACCAAAAATTAATTTTTTGATCATAAAAAATATCAAACTGGTACACTTGTGACAAATTTACCTTCCGTTAGTTTCTATTAATTTTTACTATCAAATTGCTTAGTTAAATGACACATGGCAATTGACGAATGTACCAGTTTGAGGTTTTACCCTCCGTTTGTCTTAGGTGTACTAGTTTGTGATTTTTTTTTTGCATTAATTCAATTTAATAGAGGGTAAATTTGTCACAAATGTACAAGTTTGGGGGTTTTTGATGGTAAAAAAATTAGTTTTGAGTAAATTTGTGATAGATGTATCAATTTGGGGTTTTTGGTGATTAAAAATTAGTTTAGGGTAAATTTGTCACAGGCGTACCAGTTTGGGGTTTTCAGTGGTATTAACCCAAAGACTTAATCACAAAAAGAAAAAGAAAAAGAAAAAGACTTAGTCATTGAACCGATACATCATTTGTTATGACAATTTATTGTTAGATGTAGAATATGATTCATTTGTTGAATGTCCACTTATGATTTGACATGTCACTTGTCCAACCAATCTCTACTTATCAAACCTATCTCTACTTTTACTTCGTTTCTATCATCTCGTTTTCGTTAACCAAATGAGACCTGAAAGGTCATCGAGCAGGGTGCTCACTCGATGACCTTTTAATTTGCAATATAATTCTTGAATTTTTAATTTATTTAATGTCGCCCCTGAACTTGTAATTTCTTCAATGCCGACTCTGAACTTTTAGTACGTGTTCAATTTAGTCTATGAACTGACTACATTAAATATTTTCATATAGTTTTTTTTTGTTTTTGTTTTTATAATCGAGGTGTCTGCGCGGCCGGCGAGCTAGGGCTCAAATCAGCGGTGATGCCCAACTAGTCCTCGAGGGGGGCTAACGCAGCATTCCACCGCCACGACCCCCCACTTAAATCACCGATGGGCGAGTTTGAACCCAGGACCTCTCGTGAAAGGAACTGAGCGCAAACCAACGCGGCCACCGATGGATGGATAAACATTTTCATATAGTTCAGGAGGACTAAATTAACAATTTCATATAGTTCAAGGACTACATTGACACATTAGATAAGTTAAAAGTTCAGAGATCGTATTAAATATTAGGCTAAAATTCAGTAGTCACGTTGCACATATTAAACCAAAATGGCTATTTGTATCTTATTCCATACGAAAAAAGATTTTTAGTGATCCGGATGCAAAGCGAGTTCGCTGCATGTGAGCTCTCGAATAAAGGGGGGTTGGAGCGCAAAAGAAAAGGCACTCCCTACTGGAGATATGTTCCACGCAAAACGATCTCTAGAGATCCCGAGGGTCGTGGGCAGCGTGTAGCTTCAGCGCGATGTATGTCCCTGCGCCGTGAAGTTGTCGCCTTTTGATTCCAAGAACACGACAGCGAAAGATTTGGCCAAGGAAAGATCCGGGCCTCGGCCGTGCAGTGCCGTGACTTCCTTGGTTTTTTGCCTTTCATGGCCGGCCCGTTTGCTGTGAATCTATTCCCCTGTTCACATTCCCATTCGCTTTTCTGCACCGTACCGCAAGACCCATAGGGAGATTCTAGACACTGAGGTCGAAGCTCGTTGTTTCGAGAAAAATGGCGAAGGCGGTTCGTTTCTTCGTGCTCAACACCGGGGCCAAGATCCCCTCCGTCGGGCTGGGCACTTGGCAGTCCGATCCCGGCGCCGTATCCGCCGCCGTCACCGCCGCCATCAAGGTTCTCTTGATCCCTGTTCTTTTGCTTCCGTATGCTTCTGTTTTCTTGATTTTTTTTTTTCTCCGGAGATTGCTGGATGGGATTTAGTGGGTGCATGAACCAGTTACGAGTCGATTTGTGGTGCAAAGTATGTTGTGCAACGTGGTTTCACGTCGAATCGGAGGCCGGAGATTTCGAGATTCAAAGATGGGTTGCAACGCTAACGTGAAAAGTCGTGAACTTTCTTTCATTTTGTTGACCTTCGTTGCTTGGAGGCAAGGAATGGAGACCGGTTTGTGTTGATGGTTGGTTACGCTGTGATTAGGCGTCGTGGGTGACTCTGGTTTTCGCAATTTGATGGCTAACTTTTGCAGTTCCTAGTTTTTCTTCATTCGGTTCGATTTATTTGGTTCTGTGTTAAGCTGCAAAAATTGCCTGTCTTGGCATAATTTGGGAGGATGTTAATTATAGTTCTCTGTGTGTGCAGATTGGGTACAGGCATATTGATTGTGCTCAAGCTTATGGCAATGAGAAGGAGGTAGTATTCTGTTCCTGGTTGCCAGTTTCTCGCATCTCTAAAGCCGGTTGTGTTGTTGATCAGCTCGTGGATTTTTCCCTAAAGTCATTCTCGTGATAATCTCATCTTGTCCTCCTGCTAATGTACCAAAGAACAAGATAATTGCAACATGTATCGGTGAAAGAGTTGTTAAATTTGATGCCATTGAATTGTCTGTCGTGTACAAGTTCATGTGGGTGAGATATGGAGTGTACTTTTTTGCATTGAACGCTTGACATTCCATTTGCCTTTGTGTCGTGTATGAATTGTATGGACGTTTGAAAGTTGCCCTGCGAAATCAATATGTTCTTGTCCTGTTTTGCGCCTTTTGTATCTTCATCATTTAAAAAAAAAAAGAATAGGTTGTTCATTGCTGAACAGTGAATACTTCAGCTATTAAATATTGAAAGGTGGAGAGGCATATTATTATGATTTTTTGAGGTCTTAAAGTTCTTTTTTTCCCTTTCACTTTGGTGTTTAAGGGATAAGGCAAGTATTCCTAATCTGAAATAGTCTCCAGAAACTTGTGCACTTCACTCATTCTTAAACACTTAAAGCTTTTGTGAAAACTGCGATCTAGCTCTCATTTGAACCCGAGGCTTATACTTTAAAAAGGATATCTACTTTTAGTCATTCCAACCCACAAAAACAAAAAAGGTGCCTCAGTTGCTCACGGGATGTGCTCAAATGCATTATATGTTGTTTAGTTTTAGTTGGGGGATAGTCAAAAGAAGTCAGGAGAACAACGATCTCTACCAGTAGGTTGATATTGCCCTGTTTCAAAAGGTCACTTTCAATAGATCGGGAACTTTATTTTCCCATTAGGAAGAAGTCAACATTTGCTTTCTTGTAGTTTCATGTTAGGAGATCAATTATTCCTTTTTCCTTTCTACTGCTGACGCACATTTCTCTTACGAGGGCACAATCAAGATGCGGTCATTTTGCAGGATGGTAAAAAAGCTCTGCTTTTGCTAATTTGGTCTTCCAATTTTCAACAGGTTGGTTCTGCTCTCCAGAAATTATTCAGTGAGGGTGTGGTGAAGCGTGAGGATTTGTGGATCACTTCCAAGCTACGGTATGCTTTGGTTCTTCCCTATGCTTCAAACATGTTTTGATCAGTTTTTCTGAGTTTTGAATCAGTAATGTTAATCCTAGGACCATGCGACGAGAAAACAGGGTAATTCATCACCTGATCACTCATGCCCTCCTTTTTGTCTCATTTCTTAAACAATTTGATGCAGGTGTCATGATCACGCACCAGAAGATGTTCCCAAGGCATTAGACAGAACCTTGGAGAACTTGCAGCTCAACCATCTGGATATTTACCTGGTACAGATTCGACGATGAACTTTTCTGGCTTATTTAAGGACAGAATGCTTTTCCTGTTTTATGTCCATTTCTGTGTGCCATTAGGATGTACATAAAAATACAACTTAGTGTGGTTTACTGTTTGAAGATCCACTGGCCCGTGAGCTTGAGGAAGGGCTCGGTCGGCCTCAAGCCTGAAAACCTTACCCAGCCAGACATACCCAGTACGTGGAAAGCGATGGAGGCACTATACCATTCAGGCAAGGCTCGAGCTATTGGAGTGAGCAACTTCTCCTCCAAGAAGCTCGGCGATTTGCTGGACATCGTGGAAGTTCCTCCTGCTGTCAACCAAGTGGAATGCCACCCTTATTGGCAGCAAGGGAAGCTGCGCGAGTTTTGCAAATCCAGGGGCGTCCATTTATCGGTAAGTGACTTGTTGAGATATCTTGATAACGATGCACGTGGACTTCAATGCGTCGATTATTGAAAGTGGTAGACAGAGAAATGTTTTCCCTCTATCATCGTCCAGTATATTTGTCAATCTGCATGTTTTTCTTGGACCTTCGAATTTTAGATAGAACTTTTTCCTTGGAAACTCCCTATTTTATGAGTTTCTTGGCAAAAGTAGTTCTTGACAATTTTAAAGGTGTCAACATGACATGCTTGACGTTGAGATGAAGCATTCTGCTCTCATATTACTCATGTCCATTTTCATCTTCTTTGTTTATACGTCACGGTTGTATCTGCCTCCTTACCAGATAGTTAAAACAAATTATTATACCCTTTGGGTCTCTGCACATGCTTTCTCTTCTTATTCACTACTAGTCAGTTATTTAATTTGAATTGAAATGATTTTTCTGTACTATAGGGTTATTCGCCCTTGGGTTCCCCGGGCACGGGATCTATCAAGAGTGATATCCTTAAGAATCCAGTCATTGCTACCATAGCAGAGAAACTGGGCAAGAGTCCGGCTCAGGTGGCACTTCGTTGGGGACTTCAAATGGGCCACAGCGTGCTTCCCAAGAGCACAAACGAAGCAAGAATCAAGGAAAATTCCGACGTCTTCGACTGGTCCATACCCAATGACTTGTTCTGCAAGTTTTCTGAATTACCTCAGGCAAGTAATTTCTGTTTGCTGTTTCCTCGTCCACTAGCAGTCTCTTTCTATGCGCTATGCAATCCAACAAGCACGAGCGAAAGCATAGCGAAACTAAAGTACTACTTAAAGAACTTTCAAGGGAGTGAGAGCTAAGAATTTACAAATCCTTAGACTGACGGAATTTTTTTTTTGTTTGTGCAGGTGAAACTTATCAAGGGCACTGGCTTTGTGCACGAGACTCTGGGTGCGTACAAGACGGTTGAAGAACTTTGGGACGGCGAGGTTTGAATAGACTTGAGCAAGCATCTGAAGCATGATGGCTGCGGTTTTTGTAGACCCACTTAGCTACTATTTACTTTCGTATTAGCTGAGTATGCCCATGAATTCTGCTGAACATAATATTCGAACATCTTATTAGCTTTTTAGGAGGCGTCACTGCTTGCGTTTTCTTGTCTTGTACATATCACCTGCTAGTATGGATAGTCCATGTTTATTTGTTCCGTTCTCCTTTTGCCTTTTATCTATCTTTCCTTTACACATTTGCTCGAGCAACACCCACCAAACAAAGGCGACCCTCTTCTCTATTCTTGGTGTTTGTTACTTCCTCAGGATGAATCTTACTGATGGAATAATCAAGTCATGTGTCATTGGATGATTGTATCATTAACCTTTGTGAGTTTCTCCGTCCCCCGTTGCACTCTACTTTCTCATCTGCCGCCTCCAAGACGGAGGCCACCGGCCTCAGGCGGACTTGGATTGAAGGTCCCCCTGAGGCCAGGTGGCCTCCAATTCGCGAGGGGATTCAACCACCACATGAATCCAGCCCCCTATGGTCATAGGGGATGAGAGACGTTGGGCGTAGGTTGAGCAAGCGACGGGGCGGCCGAGGGTCATGGCGTGCATTGTGGTCATCGGAGAGATGATGGATGGTGAGGCTCTATAGAGAGTAAGACCCGAGGGGGCGAGGGGCGGCAGAGGGGGCGACACCCCACCTTGTTCTATCCCCTCAATCCTGCAAGATTTCCCTTTTTTTGTTTCTCTCCATTCAGTTTTATCTTTACTTTTCAGTTTGCTTATGCATTCAAGCTTCGTTTATTTCGCGAAAAATAAATAATTAAAAAATATTTTTTTTCTAAAAGTGATCGCTTGTATCCCTTGAAAAAAAAAATATTTTCATCGTTCACGAAAATATTTAAATATAAATTGTTATCAATAAAAAAATATTTTTCATTGACTAATTATCTTAAGTGATATGAGCGATCATTTTAAGAGAAATATTTTTCAAAATTATTCATTTTTCACAAGACAAATAAAATTATTTATTTCTTTTTTCAGTTATCTTTAAACATAAAATGACGTCTTTTCGTGTTAATTGGCACCACTTTAGGTTTTCGCGAGGCCCGTCAGCTTATTAGCAGGCACATGGATGAGAAAATCAATACACAAAAACTCAACTGGGTCTTTTTTTCATCGAGAAAAATCCATTAGATCTTTCGAAATGACTAACATGGATGATCACAACAATTTTTAGGATTGAAATTCTCGAAATGAAAGTTTTAGAATTCAAGTGCATCAAGCTTTATGTTTCCGCAATAATTCTCCCAAAAAAGAAATATCTTTTTCATGAAATTGTAAAAAAAAAAAAAGAGAAAGAGAAAATCGTTGGGGATTGGTCTAATTATTTAGTCGTACGGTTGCCTATGCTTGATGGAGGATGACTGAGTCTTTCAACTAAACCAACCGCCAACATAAAAGCATTGATAGCAAAGTGAAGGGCTTATTAATGTTTTTTTGTCTTATTGTTTCTTCAGGATATGGATTTCACAATCAATAATGCTAAGGAAAGCAATTTGCACTTACTGACTATTCTACGTGTTCAGGTCACTACTCTGCATTTGGTCATCTGTTGACTTGCAGCTTGAAAAAATTACTAAAAAAAATCTTAAATATATTACATTTGTGCCAATTCGATCTTAAACCTTTTAATTTGAACAATATAGTCTTAAACCTTAGCTAGTTTTGGCCCGAAATTACTAACATGGACGCTGGGCGTTTTACATGGCACCATCAGCACTGTTGTGAACAATTTTTACTTATTTTTTACAAAAGCTCCGAAATTTTTTTAAAATTTTTATTTATTTTTCTCTTTTCATTTTCTTTTCTTTATGGACCCCCGCCGGCCTCGGCAAAAGCGATAAAAGGAAGAAAAAAAAAAGGAAAAAAAGGAGAAAAATATTTAGAAAAATTTTTGAAAATTTATCCACGTTAGCATCGGTTGTCCTATATGACGCTAACTAGACCGCCATGTTAGTGTTTTGGTCAAAATTGGCCGAAATGAAGTTGTTACTATTATGTTTCTTATCTATTCAAGTGGAATTTTGATCTCATGAGAGTGGTGAGTCGACTTGGCGACATTGGTGAGAATTGCATCATGAGTTCTAAACATCATCCATGTATTGAATGTAATCAAGTCTCAAATAGTTCGACAGGTTGAATCAAGTCGCAGACCTAAATATTTCACGAAACAAATGAAACCTTAGTGAAGGTCAAATCCCAATATGATGGAGCCGATTTAATATGAAAACTAAGATTTTTATGTACAATAAACAGAACGTATTATTAAGTGGGGTCATTTAAGCCCACCGATTAAAGCTAGGGCCCCTCCCCGTTGTAGAATGCAAGCGGATGAATAAATAAATAGGTCATATTCAAAATGCTAAAAGAGATTCACCACAATGTTCTTTTAGTGTAGATTAATTTTGGGGAAATTACATTTTTGACCATTTAGTATTGGGGAAATTCACTTTTGAATGTTATACTTTGTTTGATTACAATACTAATCCCTCTAAAATACTAAAAGAGAGCCCACCTCGGTGTTCTTCGAATGTAAATTAGTTTTAATAAATTATTTTTGGGGAAATTACATTTTCGAACCCTGTATATTGGGGGAATTGATCATCATACATTGTTTGCTTACAATACAAGTCCTTATACTAATCTCCGGCTACTACAAAAGTCTTAGCGTCAAATATCCGTCGAAAGTGCTAAGTTAGCATCAATTATATTGACATGTGACACCATGTACAAACTTCTAAAACAAATTACTCTTTTAGTCCTTATACTTTTTAAAATGAATGTGCACCGGAAGTCTTAAAATTTATCACAAAGTGCATATGCGTTCTAAAATTTACAAAAAGCGAAATCAAGTCTTAAAACTTGTCAAATTGATTCAATTGAGTCTTTTCGTTAACTCCGTCCAACTTGGTTACAAATATGCTGACTTAGCTTTTTTAATATTTTCTCTCACCTACATGGTAATGACGTGGCTAAAACATGAAATATAAAGCTAAAACGATGTTGTTTTGGTCTAAATCTAATATTTAAAACAAATTGGTGCAGAACCTTGCCTGTAGTTGTCGAGGGTCACTGACCACTAGCTGAGGCCTGGTGACCCCATCAGCCTTGCCGCCTTTCCTATCGATAGCCCTCACCACTTGGTTCTCACCTCTCTTTGTCACGCCCCGAACCAAGGCCGTAGTGTTCGGTCCTAGGCCCGGTCGTGATTGCCTTTATTGTTTCGGGGATTTGTAACGTGACGTCCCGTTATTGTTTTCCTTAATTAAGCTCAAGCGGAAGCAACTAGCAACAATAACGAGAGCACGACATAAGCAAAGAAGCTTATCATACAAGCACACGTAATTTACATGATAGACGATTATGTTACAAGCCCTTCTTTCTTACGGGCCTTCTTGGTTAGTTATTTACATTCGGATCTCGTCCGGTTCTTCACATACTATCCGCTCACATATTATCCGCATGGCTGAGTTATCCTAGCTTTTCTACCACCGTCCCTTCACAAAAAAATAAAAGTTAGCTTCTTCTCAAGCTTCTTCAAGTAACTACGATCCGCTTGCACTCCTATTGGGCGCGCCATCACTAGCGGCCCCAGGTGGCCCACCAAAATCGGCAAGGGGTCCCAAAAGGTCTCCGTCAAACCACACAAACCATGCTTCGTAACAGCGGAAGACTAGCTCATCCGCACTCTCTTGGACCCAAACAGTTGTACTACATTTACGATATGTGGTTTCGGTCTCGACATCGACAACATCTATCACTTGCACATGCATTTCAATCGGAAGATCAAAGTGAACGGAGGTGGTAGAGCCATACCTACAAAGCCAAAAACATAAAGAGTGAGTTACACAATTCAGTAAGTTAAATTCACTATGCTTCAGCTAAGAAATAGTCTCACATTGAACAAGAAAAATAGTCGTTACCGTTAGCTTGTTGATGGTAGATCAATAGCAAATGCTTCTTAACTTGCCTATGTACTAAACATGGCATGTTCAACAAACAAGAGAACATCAAGCATAGTTTTCAATGTTGAATGCAAAGATCAACACATGAGATTCATTATTCATCAACCGAAATCCATTGGTTCCTCCGGTTTTCACCGGGCATCCGAGCCTCCCTCGGGCATCGCCTCGAAATCCATCGATGGCGGCATCGTTTCAAAATCCATCGATGACGACATTGCTCCAAAATCTATCGGCGGCGGCAACGTCTCGAAATTCATCGGTGACAGCCTTAGTCCCTCGTGGGATCATGCAACAAGCAACAAACAATTCAATTCTTATCTTGTTAACATTAGCCCATGCAATCGTGCGGTACTTGTATGATCCTTGCTTTATAGGACAAATTGCCTAACATGCCGGGCACGGTCGAGGGCTCGTGACTCTATCTATCATGCCGAGCGTCAGCTCGGAGTCGAACTTGGCCCGGGTCTACACGCCTCAATATAAACCCGCACCAAGCTGAACTCATCCCGTGACGCCACAACATGAGTACGAGACCATACGATGCATCGTTTCGCACCTCGGTTATGCCATGATTCTCGACCATAAAGCAAAATAACAAGCACATGAGCAAACATCAAGCATTACAAACTTAGCCATTACTCGAGCTCAAACGCGCAACACTACGCCCTAACCAAAGTATAGGAAATTCACTTACTACACGGGTGTCCAAGGGTGTTCGGTGATGGTGTGGCGGGTGAAAGTGTGTGGCCGAGGGAGATGCCGAGACAATGGCCGAGAAAGAGAGAGATGCAAACCAAGAGAGTGGGAGGCCTAGAGAGATAGGGAGAGAGAGTGGACTATTCGGTTTTGGGGAAAGAATGAAATGGCTTAGGTTCTCTTCTATTTATAGCCAAGACTTCGATAATGACTATGCCAAATGAACCAATCATATTCATTCAAGTGCACCTATTATTAAAGGCAATCTTGTGGGAATATTATCCAATCTTAGGCTTAATAATTTGAGTGTCTAATTGACTATCAAGTGTCCTTTTAGGGTCATTATACCCTAACTTAGGATATATGAGTCACCTAAGGCATTAATTTCCTAGAGGACACATATGCCTCTAATAATGGTCTTTCCATTAATTGTTCTTGTCTTGGCCTTCATTCTTGTTTTCCAAGCTAGGGGGCGTGTGACACTCTCTAG